ACCCCTGCTCTTAGACTGAGAACAGACTCTCCAGAAGGTAGGTCAGTTGAGTTTGAGACCTATGCTTATTCCAATGGAAGAATTGCTATGGGGTAAAGAAATCTGTCTCTGATTACTCCATCCTGATTGGTAAGCATATACAAATATTCTGTAATATTACATGACTCAAAAAACTTTTTTCAAGAGTTGAGGGAGGATTAGAAAAATGCTTTATAAACACTGATCTGGTAAACCAAAAAGTGTTTTTTGCTTGAATGGAATAACCACATCTGTCTTTTTTTGTGTGTGCGTGTGAGGAGATCAGCCCTATGCTAACATCTGCTAATCCTCCTCTTTTTTTTTTTTTTTTTTTGCTGAGGAAGACTGGCCCTGGGCTAGCATCCGTGCCCATCTTCCTCCACTTTATGTGGGACGCTGCCACAGAATGGCTTGCCAAGCGGTGCGTCGGTGTGCACCCGGGATCCAAACTGGGGAACCCCGGGCCGCTACAGCGGAACACGCGCACTTAACCGCTTGTGCCACTGGGCCAGCCCTAACCACATCTGTCTTTAGTGATGGAACTTCCTGACTCCTACCACACTGGCCACATCTAATGGCAGAGGTGGCATCGTGTGATCACACTGCAGGCGTGTTTTCTAAGCTGTGGTCATCATGTCGGTTGGCATTCAAACCACATTTTGAGCAGCCCATTTTTGATAAAATTTGACTTTTGTCTTTGTGTGTGTGTGTGAGGAAGATTAGCCCTGATGTAATATCCGTTGCCAATCCTCTTTTTTGCTGAGGAAGACCAGCCCTGGGCTAACATCCATGCCCCTCTTCCTCCACCCTATACGGGATGCCGCCACAGCATGGTTTGACAAGCGGTGCATAGGTCCACATCCAGGATCCGAACCTGTGAACCCCGGGCCACCGAAGCGGAGCGTGCAAACTTAACCGCTACGCAACTGGGCCGGCCCCTAAAAATATGCTTAAAAAGTTAAAAAATAAGGAAAACACCTTTAAGAAAATCTGGCTTTTGTAAAATAGGAATTGTTTTTGTCCAAGGATGGGGAGAAAAACAGCCTATGGTGATTCTGATACTGCCGTTATACAGAAACTACGCTTGGTACCTCTTTCATAACAAGTCCCGTTTAAGTCCATCATGGTCCACTTAAGATTGGGCTCATTTCGAGTCAGTATCGAACAGTGAGGTAACAGACATTTCTTGAGCTATAAATGTTTAATTTGGAAAATACTTGGCATCATTCTAGGTCTTTATTTCAGAAAGCATCCTGGGATGGCATGGGCCCAAGTCACATTCCACAGAGCAGCTGAAAAATGGGACACTGGGCTCTTTGCCGTCAGCCAGTGCCAACATAACCTGGGCAATTTTACCAAACTCCGCTGAAGATGAACAGACCTTACAGCCAGAGCCAGAGGTAAGCTAGCCATCTTCTCTCAGCACTTTCATGGCTTGTGTTCTTGCTTGTTCAGAAATATAGTAATTATATTTGTAACTTGCTCATCTCTTTGTTTTAAGAGGAGACAAATTATAAAATGGAAGCATTGCCGGGAGAGACAAAATCAGCTCTGTGCACGCCTGGCACTTCTGTTCTTGTGTCTGGCAGCTGCCGTGGGTGAATTGTGATCCTACCAATGAGGAATCTCCTATTTTCATTGAAATGGGAGTCATTTTAACTTCAAGTGGGAGAAATTCTAACACACCATTAAAATGATGCCTGTTGACACGATGGGAGCAGTTACAATATATTATGTCGCTCCCCCGAATAATGGCTTCTTCATGTGGTTCGTGCTGACATAAGCTCCTGCCTCCCACGCTCGACTCCTGCATGCTATAGAACCAGGCCAGGGCCCGGGGGGCAGTGGCCAAGACTCCTTCTAGGCGTTGCACTGCAGCCCAGGTCCAGGCTGCAGGGGACACCTGCCCTGCCTGGTCAGGGAAGAGTGGCCCCTGCAGATCTTAACGACCAGCTGGGCTCTGACAGGCTTCGTGGACTTTGTCATCTGCCTGCACAACTCTTCTAACTGTGCCTCCAAGTGGCAGCTGGAAGGAAGCCAAACGCAGCGTTTCCTTTTGTCAATTTTACTTTGAGTCACGAGTTAATTTTTGGTTTTTCTTTTGATGCACATGATCTCATGAACTGGGCTGAGACCTACTTTAACTGTGTATTAGAGGTTGTTCTTAATTTTAATTGCAATCACTTTAGCCTGAAAATTGTAGAACACTCACGAAATCTGTTTTGTAAGGTTGAGAGCCCCAAGGCAGCTTCTTGGATCAAATGGTCTTGATTATCAGTTGAAATTTTTCTCCAAGTTCCATGTGGTTATATTCTCTCACAGCACCTTGGTAGCTTAGCTCTTATGGAGACAGGATCAGCCAGCCTACAGATATTTCTTTAGCATCTGTCAAGTGCCTCCGCAGGGTATGAAACAAATAGGGGGTGTGAGATTTTGAAAGGCATCTGCCTCTACCTGGACAGTGAGTTTCAGGTTGAAATCACTTGCAGCTCATGTGCAGGTGAATTGGAAGGTAAGTTGGCAGCTGAGTAAATGGAAGGAGCCCGCTGTCATATTGTTCTTTTGGGAGACTCGGGTGGGGTGGGATTGGAGGATGGGGTGCTTAGCAGCTAAGGGGTTGAAAAATACAATATCGTTCATTCCCTTGGAAAAGAACCTTTGGGGGTTCACACCATAATGAATGTATTTAAAGTCTTGCTCTAGAGAGAAATGAACAGAGTAGAGAAGTAAGTTATTAGATCTTTTATAATAATTGTTCAGATCCTCACTCCCAGCAGGATTCTCAGCAAAACCTAACAGGGGCTATTATCTAATAAGCGTACTTATTAGGGCTGATGATCGTCCTTATTCTGTGACTCCGCCTTAGTGTTTCTTCTTCTTTTCCCTGATAGGGGCTTCCTGTAGCTCCTGAAGTTTGAGAGGCCAGGTCTGTTCTTTTTGCATAAAATTGTTACCCACTTTGCTTTACCAGTCGGCAGCACTGGCAGAAGATAGTACATAATTGTCCAAAAGAAATAACTAGCTCCCAAGTTCAAGTTTTTAAAAACACCCTGAAGGAGAAGAGCTAGGGAGAGCTTTTCCTGTAAGTTGGGAACACTCATTAATTTCTAGTGGTCATTTTTGTCCTTACTCCTTTTGTCAGAGCAATATAAGATATTGTTTGATAATCCCTAATAGCAGTGAGAGACTTATGGGGTGTGATGGAGTGTGATAGGGTTTTGGTTTTCTGAGAAGGGAGAATTAGACTTCTTTTACAGAGAGACTTCTGTCGTTTTTTCCAGTGACAACTCTGGGAGATGATTCGCGCAACTCGAACAGCCAGTGTTTATTGGACCCTATTTTTATTTTAGGCTATTATGCTTTGCCACATTTTTTTTGGTCTTAAGAGATGAAGCAACTCGCAATATCCACACAATAGTGTTCCTGTCAAAAAAGGAAAATGTTTCCGTTGCCTTTGGTACAATATGGAGAAATAACCCAAGAAGGAATGGAGTGAAATTCCTTAAGGCTAAAAATTTCTTACGAGAAGGTTCCTTAACCCCTTTGATATAGAGAATATAGTTACTATGTGAGTGATCATTGGGAAACTAAGTTTAAGAATGTAGTTATTGTGCTGCTTTAGCTAAATAAATTATTTTCTTCTGGTTTATTGTTTTGATCATGTTGAGTCTTTAGGAGCAATAATTAGGGTAATAAAAAAGGTACCTCCTCCCAACGTGTGTGTTTTTTTTTTTAACACCGCCAAGCAGTTAACTCAGTCTAGTTCTCATAGAGTGCTGACCGGATGCCTGACAATTCAACTCAAATCTGACACGGTCTACCTGGAGATAGATCAGATCCCACAGGTTGCGGGCTCAATCCCACAAGACTGACCTCCCCCCGACTTCAGATGCCAATCACAAGTCCAGGTTGTCACCTGTGCATCTGACCAACCAGCTATAGATCAGAGGTTCCCACGCCCCCCTCCTCAGGTTTGGTTAATTTGCTGGAGTGGCTCATAGAACTCAGAGGGACATTTACCAGGTTATTATAAAAGGATATAATTCAAGAACAGATGCGTAGAGTGAGGTATGGGGAAAGTGCCCTCTAAAGGCACACTGCTCTCCCAGAATCGCCATGTGTTCGTCAGCCCAGAAGCTCTCCAAACCCTATCTTTTTGGGGTTTTATGGAGGCTTCATTGCATATGCATGATTGATTGAATCATTGGCCCTTGGTTATTGGGTTCAATCTGCAGCCTCTCTTCCCTCCCAGGAGGTCGGGGATGCGACTGAAATTTCCAACCCTCCAATCACATGTATGGCTCCACTGGCACTCAGCCCGCATCCTTAGGTTACCTAAGAGCTTTCCAGAAGTCGCCCCATTAACATAACAAAAGACACCTTTATCCTTCTCATCTCTTAGGAAATTCCAAGGGTTTTAGGAGCTCTGTGCCAGGAATGAGGACAAAAACCAAATATATATTTCTTATTATAAATCACAATGTCACACTTCCCTCCCCTGGTTCTGGCTTACCATAAGATAGCTTACAGATATCTGGAAAATTAATGCATTTTCAAGCTTAGTTTGTTTCATTCCCAGCAGAATAAAACTCAAAGACCAGTGTATATTTAATACATGAGTTAGAAGAGAACTGTGGTTGGCTCTGTTATCAAATGCAGTGATCTTAAAATTTTATTCTGCTGGGGCTAGAACTAACTGTGAAAATGAAATATTCTTCCATAATGAAATGAGTTAGGATCTTGGTTTTACCCATTAATAGAATAATTTTTCAACTCTCTTAACACTGTTTGAAATTTAAGTTTAGACAGAAAAGGTTTTTGTTGTGCTTTCTTTGTGGAAGAATGCCTTGTTTTAGGACAGGAAGAATGGTGATTGGAGAGATACTGGGGAATGGCTCTCTGACCTTCATTCCACCCTCCTGATTGGAAACCTAACAGCTCACATCCCAGATTTTCTTACAGCTAGGTTTCTAAATATGCCAGCCCTGGTGGTCTAGTGGTTAAGACTCAGCGTTCTCACTGCTGTGGCCTGGGTTCATTTCCCAGTCAGGGAACCACACCCTCTGTCTGTCAGTTGTGATGCTGTGGCAGCTGGATGTTGCTGTGATGCTGAAAGCTATGCCACCAGTATTTCAAATACCAGCAGGGTCACCCGTGGTGGACGGGTTTCAGCAGAGCTGACAAACTAAGACAGACTGGAAAGAAGTGTTACTGTACAAAATTGGGGTTCTCTTGCCTGATGTAACCAGTCGATTACAGCATCAGCTTTTGGGGGAGAAATCAGCTTTATTGTGCAAGATTGATCTTCAGGGAGACAGGGAGCATGTGCCCTCAGATCTGGTCTCCAATTCAGGGTTTGGGGTGAAATTTAAGAGGTTAGGGAGAACAGGCTGGCACATGGAAATGCTGGTGGGACAGGTTTTGATTGATGGGCTTCTAAACATTTATAAGGTGGGGAAGGAATTTTAACACTGGATTTTCCTGAATGAGGGAGCCCTTGCTTCTGTTAAGAGTCCAACTTTTAAGTTCTGGTCATGTCCCGGTCTTTTGGTTCCGCAGGGAGGAGAATCTTTGGTTCTGTGGTCATTTCAGGTCAAGATTTCTTCTTCTGTGCATGCTCTGGTTACATGACACTGGAAATTTTCTGAAATGCAATTCTTAATCACTCTGTTGATAAGAGATGAGGTCAGTTGAACTGGTCCTGGAGGGCCTGCAGTTACAGCAGTACCTGGACACCCACTTCCAAAAACATTGGCCATGAAAACCCTATGAATAGCAGCAGAGCATTGTTTGATACAGTGCTGGAAGATGAGAGCATGGCTCACAAAGACTGGGCAGGGTTCTGCTCTGCTGCACACAGGGTTGCTAGGAGTCAGAATCAACTCCACAGCACTAACACCAGCAACAAAGGTTTCTAAATGCATAATAGGTTTCGTAAATGCAGTGTGAGCTTTGGAAGCCTGAGATTGAGACTGAGTTCCTTCTGCCTGTGCTGCTGCTGGCAGGCACGGTCATGGAGATGTGTGTTTAGAGGTGGTTGCACAGACTCATTCCTCTAGGGCCCTAGTCCCACCTGCACTGGCTGTGATAAGCTATTTTGATGGCAGCAGCTGCTTCCTGACATTTGGATCATGGCTACCCATGATGGTGTGTCCTTGAATCTGTTAAAAAAAGAAAAAAATTCAAGGGCTCGCCCCATGGCCTAGTGGTTAAGTTTGGTGCACTCTGCTTCAGCAAGTCCGGGTTCAGATCCCAAGTGCAGACCTACATCATTCCTTGGCGGCCACTCTGTGGCAGCGACCCACATACAAAATAGAGGAAGATTTGCATAGATGTTATTTCAGGGCCAATCTTCCTCAGCAAAAAAAAAAAAAAAAATTCAGCTGAGTAAACTTGAAAATTAATTGGCTTTATTTAACGATTCTTGAATTGGGCAGCATCCCATCTGAATAGAAGGGCATTCTGAGGAGTTATACAAAATGGAAGGTTTCTATAGGCAGAAGGAGGGTGGGGAAAGGAAGTTATTAGCAAAAGAAAAGAAAGGCTTGTTTTAGGCCAGGACATCTCCTTTTGGAGGGAAGGGAAGGCGGGGGGTTTTATCATGCAGATTACCTCCCTAGAGCTGGTCAGGTAATTCCAGATTGACTGTTAAAACAGTTACATTCCTGGGATAGGTTAAATCTTGGTTTGCTGTTACCTAAGCAAATGACTCCATTTTGGGCCTGTTATTTCTTTTTTAACAAATTAAAATGTCTAAGGCAGTGGTGGGTGGGGCGGTGGGTGGACTTTTGCTCCTCCAGATCTTTTAGTGATTCTCTAAGCCCCTAATTCCCATATCAAATCTCTTTCTTTTTTTTTGGGGGGGGGGAGGAGGATCAGCCCTGAGCTAACATCCGATGCCAATCTTCCTCTTCTTTCTGAGGAAGATTGGCCCTGGGCTAACATCCGTGCCTGTCTTCCTCTACTTTACATGGGACGCCGCGACAGCATGGCTTGACACGCGGTGTGTCGGTGCACGCCTGTGATCCGAACCTGCGAACCCCGGGCCGCCAAAGTGGAGTGTGCGCACTTAACCACTGCGCCACTGAGCCGGCCCCTCAAATCTCTTTCTGATTGAAATACCTGGAGTGGTTTCTGTTCCCTGTGCTGGATCTGACTGGTCGGGCTGTTGGAATAGGACAGCAGAGGGCAGTATGGAAATGATCCTGAATGAGACCAACATGTGACCATGTACACCTATCTTTCTGGAGGATGTGTCTGAGGGTCAAAACGTTAGTATTTCTTAAAAGTCAGGTTTATTGAGGTATAATTCATAAATAATAAAATTCACCCTTTTAAAATGCAATTTTATCAGTATTAACAAGTCAAAGTAGAGGACGGTTCTATCACTTCCCAAAATTCCTCTGTGTTCCTTTATGAAGTTAACGGCCATCCCACCCCAGCCCTGCCCTTGGCAGCTGCTGATCTCTTTTCTGTCCATATAGCTTCGCCTTTTCCAGAATGTCGTATAAATGAAACCATACAGGATGTAGGCTTTTGAGTCTGGCTTCTTTTGTTTAGCATAATGTGTTTGAGATTCATCCACGTTGTTATACTCATCAGTAGTTCACGCCTTCTTACTGTTGAGTAGTATCCATATTGGATCCAGAGTTTGTTTATCCATTCAGCAATTGAAGAACATTTGGTAAACTTTAAAAACTTCCTCACATCCCCCGTGGCTAAAATAGAAAAAGGGGAGCATTTAGAAATAATGTTGTGTTAATCATTTGAGGCAGATATTTGGTGCCCAGATGCTTACTCCTGGCCTGGAGGGATAAGATGGAGAATCAGCACTATTAATTCCTCCACTGGAGACCCTAAGCAGGGAGTTTTTAAGCCTGTGCCTCAACAGCATGCCGTCAGCTCTCATCAACCCCTGGGTTGATTGTTTGTTAGAAGCTTTGCCTGGTTAATTGTTTGAGTTGCAGTGGCAACAAACAATGTTATCAAGAGACCACACATCCTGCACCCCCCAAATCTAGCATGTTTAGAAAGACTTCTCATAATGTCCCTAAGTACTGAGTGCTAGATCAGCATATAAATTAGTCAAATAGGGTTTGGTTAGAAAATTGCAGGTTCGTATCCCAGCAGGGCCTCTTTAGTTCCTGTTTGGGGCTGGCCCAGTGGCATAGTGGTTAAGTTCGTGTGCTCTGCTTCCGGCGGCCTGGGGTTTGCAGGTTCAGATCCTGGGCGTGGGCTGATGCACCGCTTGTCAAGCTGTGCTGTGGTGGTGTCCCATATAAAGTAGAGGAAGATGGGCACAGATGTTAGCCCAGAGCCAATCTTCCTCAGCAAAAAAAAAAAAGAGAGAGAGAGAGAATAGGCAATGGATGTTAGCTGAGGGCTAATCTTCCTCAAAAAAAAAAAAATTGCAGAATTGAATTTAAGTAAGCATGTCATAGTTCTCCCCTTCTCCAAGGGAGGAAAATTGTTTTATGAATAAAGGAAGGAGACAGATACAAAAGATTGGCCTGAATTTTGCCTCAAGAAGAATTTTTATGCCCTTGGTTGAATTGTCATTTTAGCACTGAACTTTTGACCCACTTAACCACATATAAAGCTATCAATTTGAAATCCTCTGACATTCAAGTTGAAACCTGGCCAGGATAATCTCCTCAACCCATTTTTTATCATTTCTTTATTCTTCTTCTCCAGGATACATAAATGTATAAGTAGATATGGACTGAGGGTGTCAGGCAGGGGATGGTGATAGATTTTTGAAGATACCGTGCTGTTTTGATCCTTTGGATAATTCTTTTAACACAAATTTTCAATCTTACAGTTTTGTTCAAAATATTTATTTTGCCATATTTATTTGTCATCATCCTTTTGACCAAGGAGTGAGACAGCAAACACTGACTTAAAATGATTTAAAATCACTTTACTGAATTCTGTGATAACCCCTCTAAATTTAATTACAAATGGTTGTGAAGGGGAGGAAGACTATCCTCTACCCACTCTGGGTCCTTTCTGGCTGAACTATGAATTAAATTGACATGAGACTGAATAGCAGGAGAAAATGAAACAAAGTTTTATAATGTGTATACATGGGAGACACCCAGGAAAACTGAGTTTCTCGACAAATGGTGGAGGTTTTCCCCCTAAATAGCATATTCAGGTAGACAAAGGAGGGTGTTGGGGGTGGGGGCTGTCAGCTATGGGAGATTACCAGAAAGCACAGTAAACAACAGTATGCAGATTTAAGTCCTTGCCTTCCACACTGATAAAGAGTTTTTAGAGATAAGGTCTTCCCCCCTTCCTGGTACAGAGAGGGAGATACCTTTACAAATGGAGAGTTTCCTTATAAATGTAAATGTCTCTTACAAAGGATAACTTCTACTTTTACTTGGAATGGGCTTAGCAAGGACCCTCCCAGTCTATCCATACCCAGAGTTAAATTCTTTTAGGCAGTTAGTGGTGGGGGGGAGGTCAAAGTTTCTTTCAGAGAAAATAATCAAGGTAAAAAAGACATATTTTGAGGTGGCCAATTCTGATCCCCCACAGTTGCAATGTAGGAAATGTTGATCACATTTAGAATTTGTTACAAGTAAGTCCCACACCCCGTCCTGTCATCAAACAGTTTAATTGCATCTCTTTTCCAGATCCTGTAAAACAGACTTTTTTTCTCTTTGAATCATGGCCTTTGAGTCAGTAAATCTTAAAATCAGAATAGTCTTCAAGGGTCAAATGGCCACTCCCCACACTGGAGTTGTTGACTAACTTGCCGCGAGTCACAGAACTGGTGAGTGGTAGAGGCAAGGTTAATATCTGGATTCCTTTCTCCCAAGCCAGTGCCCTTTCTTGTATACCATGCCATCTCCTGTATCTGATAGGATTTTTTCAGCTGCAAATGACAGAGAACCCAACCATTGCTCAAGCAATAAATAAATTTAATTTTCTCCCACAATAAGAATTCTGCCAATAAGTGGTTCCAGGTTTGGTGTAGCAACTCATGATGGCCTCAAAGATACAGGCTTCTGGAAAACTCTATGGAGGTTCCTCAAAAAAATTAGAA